GAAGAATTGTCGCTAGGATGCCGCAATAACTGCTGCTTATGTACGCTCGTAGTGGTGATTGACTGTCCTGTACTGAATGACTATTAGGCTCCTTCAGAATCTACATTTCAGTAGGGGCAAAATCTTTGCGTGGCAGGGGGAGCTGCTGCTCAAACTGTCAGTCGACCCATCACCGTTATATGCGCCTGCCACTCGACCTGTCACGAATATACGCCTGCCAGGGACCTTACACAATATGTAAGGTGTTTTTTATATAAAAGCCAGACGGGAAGGCATATTAGGTCAATATTCACCATTAACAAATGCTTTTCACCTACCTTACAGCTACCAGACACTCCGACTGTGTCACAGTCATCGTCTGCCCAATCCTGTCTTCATCTTCACTACACTTCCCAGAATCCTCCTCGTCTCCACACCTGAACTCACTCCCTCATTACCCACCTGTTTATCGTCATCATCATCTGTCACCTGTCCTCACCTCCTTAGTGATCATTTGTATCTGTATTTAGTTTCCCTCTGTTCAGTCAGTCTGCACGCTTACATGTAAAATAGGGCATAAGCTATAAGATAATGCTAATCGATGCATTTACATTTAAACGACCAAAAAATACAGAACCTCCTGAAAACTTCCAATACAGCATACATGCAAACATGTCTTTATTATTAATTCTGTTTACAAAAGCAGTCAACATTTATGAGATTAAAATGCCAGCATTACCATAGGAACACAATTAACGTGCCAAGCGAGCACCGAGTGCGCCACTAATGAGTGTCTCATCAGAAACAACCTCTATACATACTTAAGTTCCGGGAAGAAATGCCGCTTTTACTAAACATAGGCCTAAATGAACTATAAAAATCAGAAAACGGTTTAGATCAAATTAAATGTATTAGTGGTAGTTATTAGTCCACGTTTGGTTAGACGGATCTATATAATTAATGGTTACATAATCATGTGCCATTCCAATTATTTTTCACAAAGCTGCAGATGGCAGATTATGATATTACAGTTTAAATTATGGCAGTATTAAATCATATGTTTAATTCAAACTTAGATTACTTCTCATTTATTATTATAGAGCCTGGTTGATTTAGTTTACCCCTAAAAGTTAATTGCATTAACTATCAAACATGTACTAACATGTAGTTAAGGCTGCTGTTATTTATGCTTGAATCCTTATGACTCCTTGTCGTAGTTAAGGATCACTCTTCATTGGTTCATGATTAGTTCATATCTTCACTAATCATGAGTTCACGTTGAAGTAACTATTAAATTAAGGTATTAGTACATGATTATTCATGCCCTGTTATTGTAAAGTGTTACCGATTTTACTCCCTCTCCTACATTTGGAACTTAATTTCATAAGTGAACAATGTTTACTCATTCTCCGTGTTAACTGGAAGTCCGCCGGATGACGCAAAACGGCTTTCGTGGAAACATGTTTGGAACTTCGTATAGTGGGAAATCAGGAAAGCAGATAAACTGTCACAATGAGTCCTAACATCAGAGCAGCTTTACTCTCAGATTTCCTCCTCACTGAACCTTCATTTACACATTTAGCATTCATCAGAGAGTTTATAAATTTCACTTGCTGATGTACCACATTGAAAATTCTCAAAAATAAAGTTATTATCAGGGTGCAAGGACACAGCAAGGACACGTTAAGATCCTTGCAAAACTCATCATGTCTGCTGCTAAGACCAGCACCATTCTAAGCAAAACCAGCAGAGACAGATGCTCATTAGTTTAATTTAAAAGAGAATGTACAATTGCAGTGCAATTCTTTTTTTGTTTACCACTCATCCAAAGTGTCACGACAGTACAAATACTTTACAACAAGAATTTGTCTTAAGGCCTGTTCACATCAAGGACGATAAAGGCTCGACTGAATTCGACTGCGGTACCTATTTCAACCACAAGTCATTCTTTAATACTGCACCTTTAAACAGCATTTAAATCAAAACTGCCAAATGTTACTGAATGAAATGTCGACCCAGGACAAGCTATGGGACTGTGAAGCGTTGGGGGTGTTGATGGACTTACTCAATCTATGTTTTGATCATCGTTCTGAATCCAATCCAGATGTAGTTTTTGACAAAAACGTGATTTTCTATGCTTTTTGCTCAAAATGTTGCTTTTTTATGAAACTTACCCACATTCAAGTGTTGATAAAAAAGAATGCATGAGAATAAAACAGTTTTTTTTTTGTTTAAAAGCAGAGGGTCAGTTTGATATATTGTATGTTCAGATATTCAAACAAACAAACATTCTAGGGGCCATGAAATTTTGGTGAAAATTATCAAAAACGCTGGAGATGGCTGGCAGCCTTTTTTTTAAACGCTGGCAGGGAAAGAGTTAAACATTAAAAAATGGTGGTCTATTTCACTTAAAGCGACTCTCCAGTGTTTGTGTTTTTACTGACATCTGACCTTGATGAACTGAACAGAAGAAATGAACTGGAGAGGTTTCCACATCAAGGAAGAGCCTCAGAGCACACATATTACATAATCCCCACAAACCAATGGAGTTTAAAGGTGTTTACCAGCCTCTTTGGAAAGCTGAAACAAACTTCAAACAAACTTTGTTTTGGCCTGATTTTGTTTGAAATGACGTCACACTTGTTCGTTCTTCGATTTGCTTGAAGTATACCAGAGCCTTAACTTTAACAATAAAGATATATTTTTTAGAAATTGTTCTAAATTGAAAAGTTATAATATAATAACAAATTGACATTTAAAATGAATCATTGATAAAAACATTGACAGCCATTCAAAATCCATCCTGCCTTAAAGCGCTCGAGAATTTAAAGTCAGCATGAAACAGAAGTCTTTTCATCTCTATTGTGACATATCTGAGTGAAAAACGTAGGGTGGGACTTGATTTTGTTCATTGGGAATTGATTGGATAGTTGTGGTTTGCTATTGCTTTTATCTCATGTGAGTAACATGTTGTCCCGCCCTCACGCCAGTAAACGCGTCAGAGAACAGAAAAGTGTGTGTGTGTGTGCGCGCGTGTGTGTGGGAGGGGGGTATTTTGATTAAAGGGTAACTAAACCCCTGGTCAGAGCCTGACTCCACCCACTGGCAATATTTGAAAAATGCTGAAAAAATGGGCAGACCCCAGCGGAGATAGAGGGGACGAACCGAGGGCGGGACTGAGCGGGGGGGCGTGCACCTGAGACCCGCAGTGACAGCTGCTGTCAGACTCTAAAATAGAGAGTGACTGGAGTGACGCAAGTAGCTTTGCAACAGAGCGGTCATTTGAAGTCGAGGACTTTTCTCCCCCACCTTCACCTGAAGTGGAGGAGGGTGAATTGTCTGTGGACACAGGGCCATATCAATTCGAGCCGCTGGCTCAAACTGCGGTCTTAACTCCTGCATCGCGATCGGCATCTGATGAGTTTTGTCGAGTTGATGTCAATAGCGAGCGCTCTCTGTAGGCATATATTCATATTGATATTTTGCCGCTATGTGAAAAAATCTAGAAAAATGCGCCGGCGCGTTTGTCGACCCCAGAGGATTAACTTTAGACTACCAATCCGTTACCATCCTGACCACTGTACTAAATACAGAAAAATCTACGCTAATTTGAAGCTATCCTAAATGTACTATGCTACTAACTAACTAACTAGGCTACACAAAATAATCTAAATAACTATATAAATGCTATGCTAAATAGATGCTAAAATACTCTATCCTGATCGTTTTCAATACTCATAATTCCAACTCTTGACTCACAGTGGTTTTGACGAAACAAGGTGGTTTTTATACTAGTTTTTATACTTTTATACCAAGGGTGTGGTAGCTCATACCAAGGGCGGGGTGAGCTGGAACCATAGACAGTATAAGAAGTGGACAGAGCCATCTCATTGGAACTCAGTTGAGACAGTTGAAGCCCATTTTTAGCGATTTTTGAGCACTTCCGTTCCTGACGCGCAGACTCAAACCGACTCAAACTAAGCTTGATGACGTGAGCAACCTGTCTGACAGACGTTAATCTTCTAGTAGCTGTGCGTGAAAATTGCCAACGTTAATCTTGCAGAGACGGGGAACTTGAGCAAAGAGTGAGCAGGAGTAAGTATTCCGTTGCTTTTATGGACTCATTATCTATGGGCTTCTCCCTTGACGGGACGTCCGCCCGATTGCCTGCGAGCTTCTCCTCCTGTCTGTACGGTAATTTCTGTACAGCGCGACAGAGAGGTTATGACGCAATCGTTAGCCTATTTTTACAAAATCTGTTTCTACGGGGCCATAATGTAACATAGAAGGTAATGGAGCCCTTTATACATTGTCGTGTTTCTTTAGAAATAAATAATGGACAAATGGAGTCTTTAAACGCCTCAGATGTAAAGTTATTCGCTGTCAAAGTGACGCCAAAATGAATGGGAGTCAAAGGAAATGCTAATGCTAATGTGAAGTTCTGCTACAACATGGCGGCACCCGGCCGGCTTCAACTTCCGGTCGATGGATTACCCCCTTGGCTGGAACCTGCTTACGTCAGCTCTCACCGCTTATGTCATGAAGCACCGCAAGCATCCAATAGGAAAATTCAACTGCAGTAGCCACCGTTCAATCTGAAGAGGGCAGCACTCAGCCGTTTTTACACCATATATTGTAGAATTAAAACACTTTATACCCAAATGTCAAAAAAGTTACTTGAATCAATGATAAGCACTAATAAAGCCGCATTCTTACAGATTATTAACTAAAAAAAAGTTGGTTTAGGGTTTAGTTACCCTTTAATGGTTAGGAGAGCACATGATTTTTAAAAAATGTGCACTAGGTCAATTGGTCAATTTTGATTTAATGGTGGCTTTAAAGAGGCAGATGACATAAGTGCAACGCAGGCTTATAAAAAATAGAATATAATCATGCAGTGGTGTGGACACTAATATAGTTATCGTTCCTGGTGTGAACGGGCCTTTGAACATGTATCATATTGTGTATGAAAACTGTGCAGCATTAAAGATGAATAGACTGAATTGCTTCGGAAACTGACATCTTTAGGATGTTTCAAACTAAGTAGTCCAGTTCAGCATTCATTACGGAATACATTTCATAAATGGCATCTACAGTTGCAGTGAAGTTTATCAAGAACTGGCGAACTTTTGTTAAGCATTCCTCCTCTGCAACTTCTTGATCCTTGGATAAAGCTTTAAGGAAATCTGACCTGCATGGTGCAGCATACTGGGCAGCCTACAGCAAAACCAAACAAAATTGCTGGGTAAGCAAGCAATCATTGTCTCAATAAAAAAGCGATACGTTATTACAGATGACCCACATTTTTTGACTACATTCCATGACTTTTCAGTTGATTATGATCACTGGATTTTTAAAAGTATATTTACTGAGTATGTTTACAAGATAATTTCATTTACAAGACTTTTCCACGCCTCATTACATGCAAAACAAAATGACATCCCCATCTTGCCATGCACACAGTTACTGAAAACACCCACCTTGAAAACTTTCTGGACAATCCAGCCGTGATACCTCTTGAGGGCTTGGTCATAAGCTTTAGTGATATTGATGCGGATAAGATTGGGATTGTCCTCATCTCTCTCCCCATCCACTAGACTTTGCAGTAAAATCTGAATGAACCGCAGACCTCTGAGGAAAACACTGGTGATATTGTCAAACAATTTATGAAAAATCATAAATTGATACATACATAGTATATTTTTATTAAAGCTGCACATTTAACACATTAAATCCAATACGTAGCAGACATGTTTTCCTCCCCAAACCAGTTTAAGGTTAGGGTGTAGGGTATGTTTAGGGGTTAGTATCTTTTGTAGAATTATGTTGGTGATCAGCAAGCTTAGTCTCAACACCCACATGATCTTGTTCCCAGATAATGATTCACAATTCACCATGGTCTCAACTTTAGGTGCGTTCACGTCATGTAGAAATTGCTGTAATTACGAGATTCCGACTTGTAAAAAGCTTTCACGTCCTTGTAAGGCTGGTTTCACTACAGTGACCCAAACTGGGAAAACTGCTTATTTAATGAATCGACAGCCCATTGGCTAATCTTTAACATGTTTGCTTTTAAAGCTTGCTTTTCTGTTTTATAAGAGAAGTCACGGGCAATTGCAGGACAGGTATGATTACGTTTACGGCATTTCTCCTCCATTTCTATGGTATCAGCAAGAGTTATTGATGCGCCGCTAGATTAAATATTTCACAATGTTACATTTTGTTAATTGCATTTTATAAATAAAATAATGCAAACATTTTTCAATACCTCTAATAAATCACATTTTGCTTAGTAAAGTTCAGGCTTTGTAAATCACATAAATAAAAATTTTCCTGCAGAATTGTGGTCTATTTTAATAGCCTACAAAAATGAGATTCTCAATTTATTTAGTGATTTGTTGTATTAGATATAAAATCAGAAGAAACAAAGACATGCAGAAAATGTGACTAAAGGGATAGTTCACTTTGAAATTAATTTTTGATATGTTTTAGCTTACCTCAAGGGCATCCAAGATGTAGGTGTCTTTGTTTACGCAGAAGTTTCGATTTTGATATTTTTAGGTCAAACCGTTCTTGTCTGTCAGTCATATAATGTACTGTAAGTACACATTGATGGCCTAAGACACGAAACGAGCAGTTTGTGTGAGAAAACGAACAGTATTTATATCGTTTTTACCTCTTGTAACCACAGCCACGTCCAAGTGATCTGAGGGCGCGGGCGCTTCGGTCTGTGTGTTACAAGAGGTAAAAACGATATAAATACTGTTCGTTTTCTCACACAAACCGCTCGTTTCGTGTCTTAGGCCATCAATGTGTACTTACATTTACGAGTCATTAAATCATGTTTAATTTGGACTTCTCTGTGCATGCTCTTTGAGGTGGTGACCATAGACCTGCATTATATGACTGACAGACAAGAACGGTTTGACCTAAAAATATCAAAATCGAAACTTCTGCGGAAACAAAGACACCTACATCTTGGATGCCCTTGAGGTAAGCTAAAACATATCAAAAATTTATTTCAAAGTGAACTATCCCTTAAGTGAACAAATTACCTCTTTAACCACATAAGCGCCAGCGTGGCTCCAACTTTAGGCCACTCTGAGCCATAGATGCTTTTCTCAATTAACAGTATCTGCTGAAGAGTCTCATACTTCACTGGATCCGAGTCATAGACAGCTTTAATTTTCTAGTGAGAATTGGGAAGCATTCAGAACACACAAGGCATTTCAAAGGCATTTGATATAGGAAGCATCCTTAAAGACTGACTAATGAACACATACTAGCTTAGCCCTTAGACTTACTGTGATGTTTCCATTTATGTCAGCCTTAATTGGTGCAAAAACCTTGGAACCCAGGCAATCTGCAACGTAATTTTATAAAACACATTATAACAGCTAATCCTGACATTATACAATTGTTTACAAATGTGAAACAGCTATTTTGGAGTGCTGTGTATAGGTAGGTACCAAGAAAGTTGTAGCCATCTGGTAAACAAACTGTTCATCCTGTTCTACTAAAACTATACTAAACTACTTACTGTACTAACTAGGATACTAAAACTATAACTAGACAGGCCTAGAATAAAATGCTATGAAATATATCAAACGTTAAATAACAGGAATTCACTTAAACAACATTTATTGTACCCATATTCTGATCACTTCAGGCCAGGGATCAGGAGGAATTTTTCCCAAGGCTATTTTCTGACCCTGGAACAGTGATAAAAGCGAATGGTATTTTGGCACCACCGTGTGGTTAAAGGAGGTATTCATCCGCGCTGCCTAAATAGTAGCCTATCAGTTTGGTTTTGTCCACGGCGTTCAATGTTTAATGAGCCCCTTGTTGTTTATAACACAATTTTGGACAATTCAGACATTAAAAATTCAAACTGAAATGTCAAATGTGAAAGGCAATATCGGGGAGAGAAAGATTGAATGTCCAAAATTGCTTTCATTGTGTTTCCCCCAGTAGTGATTCTATTTTAAATCAACTTCGGTATTTAATATATAGGCCTTAAGATATATTTTTTGTAACTTCGCATAATTGAGTCACACATACAAGTTACGACTCACCAAAAAAATGTGGCAGATGAGAAACTGACTCCAGAAATGTTTTCGTGGCGATCTCGTTGGTGTCTGGCAGCGGCGCAAACTGCTGATCCAGCAAAAGTGCCATCACAAAACATGTAAATAATGCTAGCTGCTGAAATCTTGAGGCTTTTTTTAATTATCAAAGGTTCGCCAGCGTTCGTTTCTAATTTAAATTCTTCCAGAATGTCTTGAAAAAAATATTCAACAGGTGAGGGAGAGTTACTGACAAATTGACCGACTGAAGCAAACCCGACGTGAGTTCAGTCAGTCACCGCAGTGAGGCCACAGCGTTAATAAATCATGACCGCATTTTAAATACCCTTCCTACTGACAAATGGCATTCTACAAATAATTCAATAGGTTATACCCCGTTATAGGCTTAAAACACTTAAAACCTTATCTATAGACCTTGTGGCAATTTAGTGCAACAGAGCTGCTTAAAAGGATATCACAAAAAAAAAAAAAAAAAAAAATTTCTGTCATTTACTCCCCCTCAAGTTGTTCCAAACCTGTATGAATTTCTTTCTTCTGCTGAACATAAAAGATATTTTGAAGATAGTCGGACCAAACAGTTGAAGCGCCCCATTGACTTCCATAGTATTCTTTACCCATAACTAATATGAAAGTCAATGCATCAATTGTTTGTTTACCCATATTCTTCGAAATTTCTTCTTTTGTGATCAGCAGAATAAATTCATACAGGTTTGAAAGAACTTGAGGGTGAGTAAAACATGAGTTTTTTTTTTTTTTTGGGTAAACTATCCTTTTAAGTTTTTGATGTCATTCTACAGTACATGCAAATAGGCCTAATTCATGAACATGCATTTACAAAAAAATGACAAGCGGTAGCTTGAGTTGAGTACAATTAAAATTTATTATATTTAGTAACAAGACTGTGAAGCAGCATCAACTGCATGATGCATATCCCATATGAAGGCCGATGTGTCCTTCCAAATTGAGTAGGTAAGTGCATGTGTACACATCCACCAGCTACTGGAGCAGGAAATAGGACAAACTCGCACCAGATTAGTTGCATACATAACTGACAACCAGCAGCTTACATATATAACTTGTATATAAATATAATGATGTACTGAATAATACAAAGCGATACCACATAATACCGGAATCACTAACACAGCAGCTGGTGGCCGTTAGGCAATTGTGTGTGTTATTTGTAGTATTTCTGACAAGGCAGCACAGGAACACATCCTTTGGACACACAAGAGCATCCCTAAAACATCAGACAAAGTGAATTCATAGTAAAAGGATTTCGTTTTACAGTTGCCTATGAATAAACGCTGACATTCTGATGCCCTGGACGAATGAAAACGTGCAAACATGCCTGGGATTAAGCTGCAAAGACTGCATCTTGAAAGAAATTCAAAGGGACAATAATTTGAACTGGATAACGATTAGGCACAAATGAATGAAAACTATTTATGGCGAAAATAAACATGACATTTTAAAATCATAAGCAGAGGGTGATGTGTCTGCATGTGTGAGGGACTATATTTAAGACACCCAAGCATACACACAAATGAGGTATAACAGCTCACATACTAAAGCACTCCATAATAAGACTATACACTCTGAATTACTTAATACAATGGCAACACCAGGACGGGTAAGGTAGGATTTTGCAGCAAGACTAAAGGTATTTATTGCACAAGAAATGAGGCATTGTGTGTCCTGACATCTACATCACGGTCACATTTTGAGTGAGCTGGTTTTCAAGACAGAAATACTTACTACGCCAGCTGAATTTCAGCAATAATAGCCATTTATGATTTTCAGTTGTGTCTCACTTAAACTTCGTACATGGTATATTTGAAATGTGCAGGTAGGAAATGAGTAAAGGCCATGTTCTGTTTATCCACAAACAAGCAATACAGATATGACAAATCACTTAATTAGCACCAAGGGAAGCAAAACAAATTTTAGTTTACATTATAAAACGGCACAGTAAAGCTAGGAAAAAAATAATACAAATCAGGCTGCTGATTATCAAGGCTTAGTGCCCCGAAAGTTATGTTAGAGTAAACGTAAAAAAAAAAAAAAAAAACTTTGATCAATAATACTGGACAAGATAATAGCAAAGTGTACATGGTGAAAGGCGCTCAGCTACTCGTACTGTAACTCAGTTACTGTCTTTGGTAGTCACAGTAACTAGCTGTTTGGCCGCCTTGGCAATGTCGTAGGCACACTGAATAACTTGCTGGGAATCGTGCGGTGTGACCTTTTGACATTCGCCCTGCAGACGGCTGGCACTGGAGGTCAAGAGCCGTAAGGATCCGCGAACGGTCTCGGAGGACGGCCTCTGTGATGGGAGACAATGTCAGAGCCGTATTAACTCTTTAGTGCTTGGTGTGGATGCAGAGACAATAAATAAGGATATATTCTCCACTATGGCAAAGTTTCCTTATTGGCTCAAGGCTTACCTTAGGGAATAATGTAGCCATTTCTGTCACTGCTACAAGAATTCTCTCCGAACACAGGACAAAACTTGGACAAAAAAAGACAATGGAAAATGCATTTTTTTATTCTCTGATTAGATTAATTGGCATTTAAAATTATTATGATTAAAATACTAAATTTTAATATAAAAAATTGCGGAAGTAGAACACCAATATTCTACTCTGCTGTACATAAAAAAATATTTTCCTGTTTATTTATATATATATATACATGTGTATCTTATTCATATATCTTTATTATTTTTTTATTTTTATTTATTTTACAATCTGTGTACTGTTGTTGTCTCGTACTGGAAGCTTCTTCTGTCACCAAAACAAATTCCTTGTATGTGCAAAAATACTTTTCTGATTCTGATATGGCTCCAGTCATCCACACAAAAGCTTTGGACACACTATGACCCAATTCAGCCTCAAATAAAGAAAACATTAAATATCCTTTTTATTTACAAATACAGGATTAAAACACGGGTATGAAAAGCCTTTTTTGATAATTACGGTTCATGATGGTAAAAAAAAAAAAAAAAACTCCCCAAACCACAGCAACCACATGTGACTTGTTTTGCACTGTGAAAGGACAGCTAAAGAGCAGATCTGGGTGAGTGAAATGCTAACCTATGGTATCGTTCTCCCATGACTGCATAATGATCATCACAGACCTGAGACCGAATGCCAGCGCAAGTTGAACAACAAAGGCTCCCAGTGTTCAGAATATTGGATTCAAATGACCGTTCCTGATACTTATGTGAATCCTGAACATACTGCATGCAGTAAACTCAGCACAAAAGACAAAACATAAGCCATTTGTGGATCTACACGTATCCTTCCAACATGGCCATGTGTTGTTATATCCCAGCTGTGTTGACACAATTCCATCACTTGCTTAACAGACAAAAGAGACACTGTGTCACCAGGGCTGAGCCACTGAAGTCTCCGACTGGAGAATGGGTCCTTTCACCCCTTTCATACCACTAAACCTACCCAGGCTGTCACCACACGAAGGCCAGACACATTTTCTTACCCCTCATGTTTATTTTCCTGTGCAGCTCTGAGTAATTCCTGGATGTTCTTAGTGATCAGCTCTGTTTTGCTGATGACGTCCTCTGTGCACGGTAGAGTCGAATCACACTCGCTCTCAGACAGGTTTTCTGATTGTGGCACTGTACCGTCACCCAGCCAACCACTCGCCCTGGAGAAGTTACTCAGTGTTGACCTGTGGGGAAGGTGGAAAGCATTCACCGGTAAAAAATAAATACATTCAAAAGTTGTGGTTTTTTTTTTGTTTTTTTTTAAACAACAAAAGGTGAAAAGACAAACCCGGATTCATCCATCTCAATGTGGTTCAGTGCATTTTCATAGTCACTTTCTGGCATGCCGCTCTGGGCATCCAAGGTGGATCCCTGTAACAGGAGTAGAGTCACAGTGAGCTTTCTGCTTAAACAAGGGATGCAACCTGTTACTGACAACTGGTGCTTACTCAAAGCTTGAAGAGACAGCAAACAATCATGCTTTTGGTGTAGAATCAAAACATCAGCATAACAGAGCTGTAAAGTAAGGCCAGAAACATACTTTGCGCTAGCAGTCAAATGCAGACGCTTGGCCAACACGTTGTAAATACTTAACGTGTTCTCTCATTAACAATGCAGTAACAAACCCTCGAGACTCAAGGGGGCGATAGAGTTACCTTCAAACATCTGCCCTGCATTGTTATTCAGGTAGCTATATCTATAAAGATGTTAAACTAAATTTAACTCACTCAAACTGTTTCTCGAACAGCAGCGCCAATGTCATGGGTTCAATTCTCAGGGCATGCATGAACTGATAAAATGTATAACTTCAATGCAATCGAAGTCACTTTGGATAAAAGCATCTGCACAAAAAAGCATGGATTGCATTCTGATACATTTCAAACGATGGCCGGCATCAAACTTGTGTAGCTAGAAGCGTTTGCATTCACGTACTTGCATAGAGTATGTTTCAGGTCTGAGATATCAGAGAGCCAGTGACTGCTTCACAGATCAAGCAGAGTGGTGAGTAATGTTAATGCCTGGCGTCTCTCGCTGTGTGTACGGTTTAAAGTTAGTAATCCAGCTGAGGAACACGTTGTCCATTGGTTGGACAGATCTGATTCATGCACTGAGTGAATGGGGGACAGGTAGAAGATAAGCCCTTCCAACAGCCTGTTCACTGAGCAGGTACTTCACCCTTTTGGTTATCTCATCCCAGGACCAGGACAGAGTTGAGGGGAACGTGGGAAGGGAGGAGAAGGCAGTCACCGAGGGACCCTTCCCAATCTAGAAAGGGTTCAGATTATGTTTTGAGGGATTTTTTTTTATTATGAATGCACAAAAAAAGAAGAGGGGTTATCAAATCATACCTGAAGTGATGATTCACTGGGTTACCAACTGAGTTAAAACCAAAGGAAATAATGAAACGGGAGCACCAAAACCAACTCTGGCTTTGGTTCGGTTTGTACTTACATTAGATGGCAGTGGTTGAAGAGTCAGAGTTGTGTCAGGGTGGACGGTCTCTCCTCTAGGGTGGTACTGCCTCGGACCTGAACCAGTCTCGTACATCGACATGGCCCTACAGCCGCGTGGGGGTGCCCTCTGCGGGAGGTCCTGCGACCTTGCCAAACTGTTTGGAGTTTGCCATTTCAGAGTGCTGTTCTCATTCTGGAGGGAGTTTAACTGAAATGAAGACACTAAGCGGAGTCAGACACTTTCAGCTACAGCAGTGATGGAGTGTGGGACTGCGATCTGACCTCTTACCTTGCTTTGCATGAGTCTCAACTCCTCACTAAGATGGCAGTTGACCTTGAGGAGCTGCTGGATCTTTGCTTCAGAGGCATTGAGGGCACTTTTCACTTCCATGAACTCCTGAACGGTGATCGGGCTGTCCGACAAGTCTGAGGACTCTGAGCTCTGATAAGAAAGATCACAGTTATTTTTGATCCCACACACTATTACGTAGACCTGTTGTCATAATTACTATATTGACTTATCACACCATATATGGAGGTGACCTCATTCAAAATTTCAAATACATATATATATATATATATATATATATACATATATACAATACATATATACTAGTGCTGTCAAACGATTAAAATATTTAATCGCGATTAATCGCATTAATGTCATAGTTAACTCGCGATTAATCACACATTTTTATCTATTCTAAATGTCTCTTGATTTCTTTTTGTCCCATTATTTTTTCTAATTTTAATGCTCTTATCAACATGAAAAAGTGGATCGGCTTGCTTTGTGCAAATGTGTTTTATTGAAAACAACATTGACAATACTGTGTTCAATTTCACACTAAAACATTCTCACTTGGAGCAAATAATCTCTCACACAATGTAACACTGTCCATCAATAAAAGGGTGAAAGAAATACTGACGAGGGGGTGGAGAATTCGCATCAGCAGTGTGTGTGTGCTTGGCCATCAAGTGGTGTTTCAGACTGGACGTGCTGCGATGATAGCTCAGTTCACAACGACAAAACACACAGATCACTTTGGTTTTGTCAATGGGACCATTTGGCAACTTTTTAAAAGTAAACTTTTTTAATTCAGAATCTTATTGCATCCTTTTCGGCATCTCGCGCTCATCATCCACTCAAAACGTAACGTCGTTAACCTACTATTTGGCCGGCTCGCAACAAGTGTGTATCCGGTCTAGCTAGAACCGGTGCTTTCAGGCAGGACGCGGAATGCGCGGCGCTACGCCAGTTTTCAAAACTTTTTGGATGCCAAAAAGTTTCTATTGGCCGCGCTGATAATCGTCACAGCAGCAAAAGTTGAACTATTTCGAATTTTGACCGCGGTGTGCGCGCCGCTGCTCTTGCGCTTTGGTTGACAAAGCAACAAAACGTCCTTGCGCGGCACTAGCCATTGAAATCAATGAGTTTTATAGCGCAGCGCATGCCGCGTCCTGTTGTAAAATCATGTGAAAAAAAAAACTACAAAGTTTTCTAGGCCAAAAAGACCGTTAATCTCGCGATAAAAAAATTAATCGCGTTAAAATGGGTTTGCGTTAATAACGCGTTTAACTGACAGCCCTAATATATACTCTAGATAACTAGGGCTGTCAAATAAAATATGAAATATCCGTAGAATAAATAAAAAAACCTGCACATTCGAATGCAAAAACCGTGCATTCTAATTTTTTTTGTGTCAAGAGGCGCACAAGACATGATGATGACCTAACTGGCACAGTTTGTTTTTGTTAGCTTATCCAGCATACAGCGCGATGCGGCTGCATTGTTAATTTGAAAAATTATGAAAACCCTCTCAGTTGGTGGCAAAAATCGTGCAACGACATACTTGAACATACATAGGTCAGAGCTGAGCGTGTTTTTTCATCATCTGAAAACATCGTCAACAAAAAGAGATCAAGTTGACCGTCTGGTGTTTTTGACGAACAATATGTAGATGTGTAGTGAGTAGAAGTAGATTGTTTCTGAATGGCAGTTTGCTATTTTATGTTCATGTAGTGCATTACGCTCTCTGTTGAAGCGTGTTTTCTCAGGTTTCTGATGCACTTACACAGTTTTATGCACTTTTGTTCCCTAATTTAAATTATATTTTATTTAAGAACAATTGTTTCAAAAGATAATACACTTTAAAAAGTGAATGTCATTTCATTTCAATAAAAGATTTAGTTTATATTTGCTTATTGCGCTCGCTTGCGCCCTCTTGTGGGCATAGGAGACAACACCGTACTTTTTTCCTCAAAAACGAAAATTACCCCATGATGATTTACTCACACTGAACCCATCCTAGGTGCATATGACATTCTTCTTTCAGACGAATACAATTGGGAGTTCTATTAAAAACTGTCCTGGCTCTTCCAAGCTTCATAATGGCAGTGAATGGCTGTATGTCTTTGGAAGTCCATCTATTCATTATTAAAGTGCTCCACGCGTCTCCGGGGGTTAATAAAGGCCTTCTGAAGTGAAGCGATGCGTAATTGTAAGAAAAATGTCCATATTTCAAACTTTATCGACTAAAATAACTTGCTTCTGGCAGACGGCCATACGCATCGATTTACGCAAAAAGAGTAATCCTTGAACTTGACGCACAACGTAATGACGGCAATTGACGCCTCTCTCGGGGTGCTTCTCAATTCTTATTTGTGCATCCTCGTTTCCTTCCCTCGCGTCTCAGCTCCACCCCCTGTAGGATGCGAGGGAAGGCTGCAAGGAAACAAAATGAGGACGGAGGAATCGAACGAAAGCTTTTTTATACATTGGAATACTTGATCACTCGAGCATCACTTCATAGTGTCGTCAGCTGCGCTCAAAGGATCTGCCCTTATGTTGTTGAAGTTTGATTATTTAAGAAATTCGTAATAAATAATATAGCAAGATACCCTGTTGAAATATGCGCGATTTGTGGTTTATATAAACTGCAAAGGTAAAGTATAAATTAAAATTATTGTGACCGTTGTGAAGGGGGAGGAGAATATATACGTGCGTCACGTTTAGTCGATAAAACACTTCCGCATAGGGTACACCTGTGCATCCTCGCTCATAGCTCCTCTGGAAGCCTCCTCACTCCACGATCCTCGCCTCCTTACGGTGCAATTAGAGAATTGAGATGTCCTTCAAGATGGCTGAGCTCGATCGGTTTCCGGGTCATAGGATGGAGGACGGAGGAGAGAGGAGACGAGGAGAGATATTGATAAGCACCCCTTTCAAACAAACAGGGCTGGGCAACCGCTTTCATCATTGCGTTGTGCGTCAAGTTCAAGGGTTACTCTTTTTTTTTAAGCTAGTTGTTTTAGTAGATAAAGTTTTAAATATGGATTTTTTTTTTTTTTTACACAAACGCTTTACTTCAGAAGGCCTTTATTAACCCCCGGAGACGCATGGAGCAGTTTAACCCTCTGGGGACCAAGAACGCACCCGTGCGTTTTGGCAGATTTTTTTCACATAGCAGAAAAATAGACTTAAACTACTCCATCATTTCTGGTCATACAGAGTTATGAAACATATAAAAAAAACTGTTAAATGTCTACTTTTTTATGTGCCCACCTACAATCGAAAAAATATTGTGCTTTTGTAAAGTAAAGAAAATAAACAGGGTGTGCGTTCTGCCTCTCTGTGTCCGTGAACTTTTTTTCTGGAGCACGTCTCTTAAACTTAAACAAAACTCAGACAATACTATTCACCCAGACATGAGCAATATATGTTTATGATCATTTAAGTTTGTACTTTTAATTATCTAATTTAAAACTAAATTAAGATTCCCTGTTTATGTTATCTATATAAAAAGAGAGATGTGTCAGCCGTTCTCATTGTTCTCGCATCTCATTATTCCGCTAATGTGACACGCCCACGGAGAGCGCGCGATATTCAAACGCTAATGATCTGAAGCAACACATTGAGGCGTGTAAACGCCCACACAAACTCTGTACAAACTCTCACACTATATTTAGTCAGATTAATGTACTGTCGTCTTGCGCGGCTGTGAGGAATAATCCTGGGCCATTTACCTACCTCAGAACAAGTGCTGGTTTATTTTCACTTCGAGGAGCGAGCTGAACTAAGTGTTTTATTCTTGTGGTTTGTTCTAATCGCGATATATAATAACGTTAGTGTTTGTAAACGCAAAAATATCCTACTGTTTAAATTTGAATCATGTTTCTGTGTGTGTGTGTGTGTGACTAGTTTAGGATAGATTATAAAGTTTTAACTCTACAATAGACATCAAATAAGCTTTTGTTAGCAGTTTCTGCTCATATGTTAAATATATAGTATGTTTTGTCAAAAATAAACTTATCAACTGTTTTAGTGTTTGTTCCAGCTAGGCTATATCAAAATAATAAATCCTTAACTTTGAAATATGTATAATAAATGTATTGGCATACTTTAAAAAATAATACTTTTTAAGAGATTTATGGAAAAAGACAATTTTCTTTTCAAGATGTTTCCAACTCTAACTTTGAACCAATTCTATTGAATGGCCCATATAACCTATTTGAACAGGATTTGTTTCCAGGTATGACTAAAAATGTGCTTTTGACTTTCATTTATATTTTGATTATTTATATATATATATATATATACACTCACCGGCCACTTTATTAGGTACACCTGTCCAACTGCTCGTTAACACTTAATTTCTAAGCAGCCAATCACATGGCGGCAACTCAGTGCATTTAGGCATGTAGACATGGTCAAGACAATCTCCTGCAGTTCAAACCGAGCATCAGTATGGGGAAGAAAGTTGATTTGAGTGACTTTGAACGTGGCATGATTGTTGGTGCCAGAAGGGCTGGTCTGAGTATTTCAGAAACTGCTAATCTACTGGGATTTTCACGCACAACCATCTCTAGGGTTTACAGAGAATGGTCCGAAAAAGAAAAAACATCCAGTGAGCGGCAGTTCTGTGGGCGGAAATGCCTTGTTGATGCCAGAGGTCAGAGGAGAATGGCCAGACTGGTTCGAGCTGATAGAAGGGCAACAGTGACTGAAATAACCACTCGTTACAACCGAGGTATGCAGCAAAGCATTTGTGAAGCCACAACACGCACAACCTTGAGGCGGATGGGCTACAACAGCAGAAGACTCCACCGGGTACCACTCATCTCCACTACAAATAGGAAAAAGAGGCTACAATTTGCAAGAGCTCACCAAAATTTAACAGTTGAAGACTGGAAAAATGTTGCCTGGTCTGATGAGTCTCGATTTCTGTTGAGACATTCAGATGTTAGAGTCAGAATTTGGCGTAAACAGAATGAGAACATGGAACCATCATGCCTTGTTACCACTGTGCAGGCTGGTGGTGGTGGTGTAATGGTGTGGGGGATGTTTTCCTGGCACACTTTAGGCCCCTTAGTGCCAATTGGGCATCGTTTAAATGCCACGGCCTACCTGAGCATTGTTTCTGACCATGTCCATCCCTTTATAGCCACCATGTACCCATCCTCTGATGGCTACTTCCACCATGTCACAAAGCTCTAATCATTTCAAATTGGTTTCTTGAACATGACAATGAGTTCACTGTACTAAAATGGCCTCCACAGTCACCAGATCTCAACCCAATAGAGTATCTTTGGGATGTGGTGGAACGGGAGATTCGCATCATGGATGTGCAGCCGACAAATCTGCGGCAACTGTGTGATGCCATCATGTCAATATGGACCAAACTCCCTGAGGAATGCTTCCAGCACCTTGTTGAATCTATGCCACGAAGAATTGAGGCAGTTCTGAAGGCAAAAGGGGGTCCAACCCGTTACTAGCATGGGGTACCTAATAAAGTGGCCGGTGAGTGTATATGTCTGTGTGTGTGTATATATATGTATATATATTTTCCTTGCATTCATTCTTGTGACACACCTGAATGAAATGAATGCATCTTTGTCTTCTCTGGTGAGAATCACCTAATTATTCACGAGGGGGTTGGGCCGTTCACGCCCATTCGCATATTGCCTTTCAAACAAAAAAATGTTTTTCACAATTTAAAGCAATCTATGGTGTTATGTGAATGATAAGAAAGGACGATTTTCAGATCATTTTGAAGCAAATACTCTAGGCCAAAACTTCCATTAGTCAAAAGTCTTGTGGACACATATTTAGTATGTGTTTTGTGGCCTTATTTCAGAAACTTTAATTTTTAGTTTTATCAATAAACATGCATAAACAATATTCTCTCAAAAATACAAACATGTACATACATGTTGCTCACATATTATGGTAGCCCTGTTTGTGCTAAATAGAGTGTAATTTCACCTGTGCCATTAATATGTTTATAAGCAACTGAAAAAAGCACAATTGTCAGGGCATGTCAAAACATCTCAAGGACCCCAAAAACACCTTGGTCCCCAGAGGGTTAATAATGGTAAATCATGGGCTAATTTTCATTTTTGGGTGAACTCTCACTTTTAAGTATTGACAGTATAAATATATTAGTTTACCCAGTTACTTGCGCTGTACACAAAGCAGCGCTGCGTTTATAAACTCTACTTTATTAAGCAATGCATTATTCTTTGGAACTTTGATTAACCAATTTTTATGTTGTTCAACACTGAGCCAAGCATAGATTTTGGACTTCCCTGATACTGAGCTAGTAAAAGGAAATTAACACGCAGGGCTGCCTGCAAGCGATCAGGATCCATGCACTCGCGCTGTTCAGGTTTTCCTGCTTTCCCCCAATCAGTAGCGCTGTTTCACTCTGGCTTTGGCAGCACCACGCTACTCTATAAAAATTTTAGTACATGTTTAATTCAAACACTTTTAAAGCAACACCATGTGATTTTTCCTCAGCGGTCGCCCTACAGGTTGGAAGCAGAATTGTCCATTACTGCTGTCGTAAATAATTTAGCCTTCCGCAGCCGACTGTCGCACGCGCACGCTCGCTGTTTATCCAGCACCGGCTTTGCAATCAACAATGGCAGACATCCCAACCTGCAAGAAGTCATTTCAGGGAGGTATATCTTGGTGACTGGATTGTTGACGGGAGGGGGGGTGCGGCTGGTGGCGGGTTGACTAGCTTTCGTGAGGCACACTCGCAAGGTCTCTCGCTCTCTCTCTCTCTCTGCCGTGCTCGCGCTATGTATGTTATGCGCGCAGTATGTTCTGTCTCGCATGCGCGCTCTAGATTCCGGCAGATCTGAACTAATTTGCGGGCATCAGGGAGACGCAGGAGACTCCCGGGAGACTTGGGATGTCTGCAATGGCCACAGACAATTTGAGGAAGTGGTGGGGGAAGTGACGTATGCCGTAAAGCAGTCGAATTTTGTAGTTCTTTTTGTGCACGGGTTCCTACCCGAAACCCGAAGTTACATAGTGCCAGTAAAAGCGATACAGACCACGTCAGGCTATGGCAGACGTGTCATTTAACTTATTGTAAGTCGATGTACCATCACAAGGGTCTTGGAAATATATTATGAAGGTTGAAAAACTACATAGTGTTACTTTAAGGACCTATGTTTGTTTTCACATACTTTCCAGTTCTTGAATCCATGCGTCTGAAATCCAAGTACTTTCAAGAAGCATGGGAACCCTGCCAAAATTTTAGCCGATCGCTCTGCCTCTGTCATCTTATCAGCTTTCTTAGGTGAAAGCGATGCTTAGGCAGCTCCTCCTCACACACAGAGCAGACACTGACAGGTGCATTGTTTTTCTATGTAAACGTGCGCTAGGCAGACGCGTTTAAACATTGCACCCGTACGCAACGTGGCTTTATAAACACACAGCGCTCAAGTTAAAAGAAGTTCAACTTTTAAAAAACATGTCTCTAGAAAAATACTAGTTTCCTGTTGAGACATTTGTGCTTTTGTTCATATGGACATTGGGCTGCTAAATAGGGTTTGTGTTTTTCAGCAATAGTGTGCTGAAAAAAGAAGGTCTGGGAAAAATCTGTAGATGGAAAATCTCCACACAAGTGCCTTTTTGTTATGTACTTTAAAAGTCTGACATTGTCAAACATGTTTTTTTCTGCTTTTTGTTACTTTGCAAAAGTTTTATTTATTTAGGATATAATTTGTTTTTAGTATCCAAATATTCTTAAGAATCAAAAGTCCTCTGTTATTTGAAAGTATGTACTTGCATTATTATGCTGTTATTTTACCAATTTTAGTGGCATAAAATTGTCTTAAAATTACAATAATATTGTTATTAGCAATTATTCCTGGGACAATATTACTATTACGCACCCAGAGAAACTCAACAATTTACCTTGGTCCTCTCGTCTTTTCCAGATGTTGGTTCTTGCTCAGTATCCTCATCTGATGCTACACTGTCATAATCAGGCTGGTCCATCTCAGGACTTTCACTGCCATGACGGTTCCCAATGTCCTTCAGAATTAACTCCACATTATCTGGGAAGAAACAAACAAAGGGTGGAAGTTGAACTTTATGCATCATACAGTTCATGACAAACCCAAGACCTTTCATCACCTTTGACATTATCAGGAGAATTTCCTTGCTGACGGCGTTTGGCATCAGTTAAAATATCAATAACCAGTGTGGCAAACTCATGTGCATTGAACCTTGCGAGTTTCTGGCGCCCCTGCAACATAAATACCACAAACAGAGGAAAACTCAAACATGATCAAATCAACTCAATCATTTTAAAAAAAGAGTGTGCGCATCTGTGTCAACGTACCTGATTCCTAGTGGAAGAATATTCAGGGTTGACAGGGAGGAAAGGTACCACCGTGGTGTCAGTTACCAAGGTGCTGTGGTTCTGCGTGGCAAGCCAGACTACAATAGCAAAAGAATGACACCATTCAAAATGTTAGGATACAATCAGAATTTGTACTTTTAGAGAAAAACGGACAGATATCAGGCTATTACGGTTCTCTAACCTGCATCCGTTTCCCTTCTGTCAACTTCATCGTACACATCCATGGCTAGTTCTTCAAACTGATGATTACTGAGCTGAAAGCACCACAGCAAGGTTATTTTACTGTATACAGTTAATTTTAAGTGTCAAAATAGGTGTTGGAATAAAAATGTAATGAGCAACCCCACCAGCTTTACAAAAACAGTAAACTACTGTACGACTTACAGACTGAAGCTTCTTCTTTGCTGCTTTGGCCAGTTCTGACAAGTCAAGACTGCTGTATGTAAAATAAAAGAGAGCCATTATCATCTGATCCTAACTTACTCTAGGAAAAAAAGCAAGTGCCATTTCCATACTTACACATTTCTTATCCATTTGAAGCCAGCAACGAAAACAAATTATGCAATTAAGTATTTTAATAAACTACAGGCATGATCTAAAAGAGAGCTTATCCTACCTGTCTGCTATCTGAGGAATTATAAAGTGTTGCCCGCTTTTATGATCTGAGGAAAACAAGAAGCCATTTTCTTTCCAGGATCTCAAATCTTTGAGGTACATGCTGTGCTGTCATTACAGAGATACTGATGACTGACCTGGCTTTCTTCCGCACAGATAGAATGCTAGTCTGTCTGTCAGCTCAAACTGGATCTCCACCAGTCTGTCTGTGAGTTCCTGGTGTCCTGCCTGCCTATAGTGAGACATAACAGATTACAGAACATAAAACATCACTGAAAATGATTAATCTTTGGACTGATCCCTCAAATCTGCATCTCTCTCACCTGGCGTAGTCAACAGGAGTCTTCCCAGAACTGTCTTGTGCTCCGGGATCGGCTCCATAAACAGTAAGCAGCTCTGCCTGTAGCAGCTGGCCTGCTTTAGCTGCCACATGTAATGGAGTATTTCCTTTCTCCTGAAGAAAACAAAATGACATTCATTAGAGTAATTCAGTCAGGGACAATAAAGATTAACCCCTGCTATGGTGCGCATGGAATAAATAGCAAAGAAAGCTAAATAATGATATCCACCTATACTGCCATACAAAACACAGTATTTACATATTTTGTCAAAATTGAGTTCTGATATCAGTGGGCCAGTTCCCTTTCGAGGGAACTCTACACTGCGTCGAGAATCGACACTTTGGGGACGCTCCCTAAGCGTGCACCTCTGAAGTATGAATGAAACTAATCCAATCCTGATTGGTGTTACGTCGTGACGTAACATGTGACGGCATACCCGGAAGTATAAAAGTGACACTGTCACAACACACACCAGCTTTCGCTCTTCAGCAAGCGCTCTGTGTTGAAACTGTCTGTCTTATTTGGTGTTGTTTGTCAATCAGTTGATCAGAATGGCCAGCGAACAATTTAAAAGATGTGTGCATCCTTGCCCTCGTTTTATTACGGGTGGGGACACACATGCTTTGTGTGTGAATTGTTTGGGAGCACAGCATGCACAGGCAGCTATTGAGGGAGCTGTTTGTGCAGACTGTGAAGCACTTCCTATTAGAGTGCTGCGCTCCCGGCTGGCGTGCTTTGATGAGCACGGTCAGGCTCGCGTTCCCCACGGTTCTGGTCCCGCGTCCGTTGAGGCGGCGCGACGATTGAGATCGCGGGGTTCGCAGCGGGATCTTACAGATGAGAATGAGACTGCTGCGGCACTTTCTCATTCTTCGTCTGAGGATCCCGTAGCCCCTGAGAATGGTACAGGAGCCCGCATCGCGGCTTCTCCTGCACACGATCAGGTCCCAATGCTTGAGCTCTCTGCTTCCGAGGAAGTGGATGTGCTCAGTATTGATGCGGATGACCGTGATTTGGGCGCGCCAGTTCACGGCCAAAGCTATGAGGAGCTGGTAGAGGTTGTGACTCGTGCTGTGGCCAGACTTAACATTAGCTGGCCACATGATGAGCAAGGAACGCAAGTGAAAGCAAGCTTGATGAGCGTTTCCTGCAGCACAGGTCACAACCTCAGCGCCGGGCTAACTGTTTTTCCCCAATCTTACAAATAAAGAGATAAGAACTCTCCTGAAAAAAAAACAAAAAAAAAACACCCCACTCTTTTTCACCTGTACTCTAAGACGATTTTACAGGCGTATAATGGCACTAAACGTACCATAGCTTATTGTAGCAGTTATGATGGTTGAGAGACATCAGTGGCTTAATTTGTCTGGTATAAAAAAGGTAAGACAAATATTTTCTGCTGAACGCTCCGCTATCACCTTCTGGCCTGTTCTCCGACGCTGTAACTTCTATCGTCGACAGGTTTATGAATAAATAAATAAAATAAACATATATATATATATAAAAATAAATATATATTATAAAACTATATATGTTGTCCCGCCGTTTTTGAACGTTTCGGGCTACATCGATTTCCAGCGAACGCACACCGTGGCGTTCACCCCAAGAGCTTGCAACCGGGCATCGACTATGATCACAAAATTTTTCTAGACTTTTTCCTGCCGGTCATCTGCTTCAGGAAGTCGAGAATAGTGCTCGAGAAACACCCGAGGCCGGTCCCAAGGGGCTGGTTCCCTTAGTAGATTTTGTAGAATGGCAACGCCTTCCAATTATCTCTATGGGTCCTGAATATTTTTAAATATGGGTACGGACTGCAGTTCGGTTACCGACCTCCCAGCTTTGTTGGGGTCGTACCGACCGCAGGGGTTCCAGAACAGGCTCGGGTTATTGAACAAGAGGTACAGACTCTACTGGAGTTAAGGGGCCATAGAGAGTGTTCCCCTACCAGATAGAAAGTCCAGATGTTACAGCCGGTACTTTTTAGTTCCAAAGGAGGATGTTGGACTGAGGCCAATTTTAGATCTAAGGCTATTGACTTGTTCTTTGAGGAGATCCAGGTTCAAAAGGCTTACAATTTCCATTATCGGAAACCAAATCAGATCCGAGGACTGGTTTGGCATGGTAGATCTAAATGTTGGGGCTGTCCACTCAGTTGCAGGGCAACCGATGTTGTTCTTGCAGCGGGGCCCGGAAACGATGTGTATTGCCCGCCGTCTATGACGCTTTGGGCCGCATCATTTTCCAGGGAACGCACTCTGCGTCGTCTGTCCTCGAAAAATTAAAGACGAGCATCAGTTATGGTCACGAAAACAGTATCGACTACAGCCTGCCGGTCTTCCGCTTCAGGCAGTCGAGAAGGGTGCTCGGAAACCACCAGAGACCAGTCTCAAGAGGCTGGATCGGATGTGGTTCTTGCGGCGGGGCCCGGGAACGATGTGTATTGCCCGCCGTCTATGACGCTTCGGGCCGCATCATTTTCCAGCGAACGCACTATGCGTCGTTTTTCCTCAAAAAACCCCCCAAAAAAACGAGCATCGGTTATGGTTACGAAAACCGTATCGACTACAGCCTGCCGGTCTTCCGCTTCAGGCAGTCGAGAAGGGTGCTCGGAAACCACCAGAGACCAGTCTCGAGAGGCTGGATCGGATGTGGTTCTTGCGGCGGGGCCCGGGAACGAAGTGTATTGCCCGCCGTCTATGACGCTTCGGGCCGCATCATTTTCCAGCGAACGCACTATGCGTCGTTTTTCCTCAAAAAAAAAAAAAAAAAAAAAACACCATCGGTTATGGTTACGAAAACCGTATCGACTACAGCCTGCCGGTCTTCCACTTCAGGCAGTCGAGAAGGGTGCTCGGAAACCACCAGAGGCCAGTCTCGAGAGGCTGGTTCTCTTAGATCGGGTTCTTCCGTTCGGCCTAGCACTCTCTCCCGCATGTTCATGTGTAGGTTTATGGATGCGACTCTGGCTCCACTGAGGCTTCAGGACTGAATTACTTCGACGACTGGCTCTTATTGGCCCAGTCTCGAGGAATGGCAGTTCGGCATTGAGATGTCGTCCTTGGTCAAGATTATAATCGGGGGTTGAGACTCAACACTGTGTTGGAACCAGCTCAGAAGACTGCTCTTCTGGGCATGAAATGGAATTCGGTTACAATGCAGGCACGTATGTCTCCCGCTCGTATCGAATCCATCCTGGCCATGGTGTCCGGGATAAAGCTAGGCCAGGCCATCACTGTAAAGCAGTTTCAAAACTGCTGGGCCTCATGATAGCGGCATTCAACATTATACATTTGGGCCTTCTACACATGAGGCCCCCTTCAGTGGTGGCTGAGAGCCAAGGGTTTTTCCCTCAAGGGGAATCTGTTCTGTATAGTCAGTTACGCGCAGATGCCTTCGTTCTCTGGTAATTTGGAAGAAACCTTGGTTCCTATCCCACAGGCCAGTGCTGGGAGCGTCATGTCGCCGGAAAACCGTTTCGACAGTCGCCTCCCTCACTGGTTGGGGCGCGGTCATGGACGGCCGCTTTGCCAGGGGTCTGTGGTAGGACCATCATCATTCTTGGCACATAAACTGTCTAGAGATGATGGCTGTGTTCAGGGCTTTGAGGAGCTTCCTCCCAGACATTAATAGTTACCATGTCTTAGTACGATCAGACAATACGTCTGTGGTAGCTTATCTGAACCAACAAGGGGGACTCAGATCGCGCCCTCTGTGCAGACTGGCGCATCAGATCATTCTTTGGTCCCAGGGGAAAATACTCTCTTTCAGAGCAATGTATATTCCGGGGGTTCAGAATCAGGGAGCAGACATCCTGTCGAGGCAGGGGCTGGGGCCCGGAGAATTTAGACTTCATCCTGATGTGGTGAAGTCAGTATGGGAGAGGTTTGGACCATTGGAAGTGGATCTGTTTGCGTCTCGAGAGACGTCCCACTGTCCACTTGGTTCTCCCTCTCACTTGGTTCTCCCTCCCACTGGCGTTGGATGCCATGGTACAGGCCTGGCCGAGGCTTCGCCTGTACGCATTTCCCCCGATCGCTCTGCTTCCGGGAGTCCTGGAGAGGGTCCGTCAAGAGGGCATCAGTCTACTTCTGGTTGCCCAATGTGGCCGACCCGAGTATGGTTTTCAGACATAATATCACTCCTGATAGCTCCGCCATGGCAGATTCCTCTGAGGAGGGATCTGTTGTCTCAGGCGGAGGGCACAGTCTTCCACCCTCACCCAGAGCTGTGGAAGCTGTGGGTTTGGCCTCTGAGGGGGTTCAGTACCTAGATGCTAGTCTATCAGCTGGAGTGGTTGAAACCATACTTAGCTCTAGGGCTCCGTCTACTAGGAGATTATATGGCCTCAAGTGGAATGTCTTTTCCACTTGGTGTAGAGAACAGGAGTTAGATCCAGTTAACTGCCCAGTGGCTTCAGTTCTGGAGTTTCTTCAAAATCGTTTCTCTGCGGGTCTCTCCCCTTCCACACTTAAGGTGTACGTGGCTGCCATTGCGGCTTTCCATGCGCCTTTGAGTGATGGGCCTCTGGGGAGGCACCAGTTGGTCATTCGTTTTCTCCGTGGTACTCGGAGGATGAGACCGGCAACCAGGTCCAGGGTTCCTGCCTGGGACCTGGCAATAGTTCTTGAAGGGTTATCCCTGGCCCCCTTCGAACCTTTGCAGTCGGCTTCGCCTAAGGACTTAACGCTAAAAGTGGTATTTCTCTTGGCTATTACCTCACTTAAGAGGGTGGGAGATCTCCAAGCCCTGGTACACCAGCTTGCTTGGAGTTTGCCCCTGGCAGAGTAAAGCTTTTTTGCACCCGAGTCCGGGCTACGTGCCTAAAGTATCGAATACGGCTCGGTCAACAGTTCTTCAGGCATTCCATCCTCCACCTCCTGTGTCGGCAGAAGAAGAGAAGCTTAATTTGCTCTGCCCCGTCAGAGCTTTGAGCGTGTACCTTGAGAGGTCCTCTTCTTGGAGAAGGTCGGACCAATTATTGGTATGTTTTGGGTCACCTAAGAAGGGGCTCCCGGCATCCAAGCAAACTATTAGTTTTTGGATTGTTCAGGCTATTACTGAGGCTTACAAGGTGCGCGATTTGCCTTCACCTTTAGCCGTGAGGGCTCACTCAACTAGAAGCGTGGCTTCTTCTAGGGCCCTTCTTTCGGGAGTTCCTCTACATGAGATCTGTGAGGCAGCCGGTTGGGCTACTCCACATACTTTTATTAGGTTCCACAGTCTCCACCTTCCTAGTACGCTTGGCACACACGTGCTCAGTCCTTGCTGAGTGCCTAAACAGTTTCACTCCGGGACAGGCCTATTCGGTGCGTGGCCTAGTGGGCATTCGTTCCCCAAAGTGTCGATTCTCGACACAGTGTAGAGTTCCCTCGAAAGGGAACGTCTCGGGTTATGACTATAACCCTTGTTCCCTGAGAAGGGAACGAGACACTGCGTCGTTCTGCCACGCCCCTTGAGGCCTTGGAGCGTCTTGCTTTATCGCGAGGCTAGTGTGTGTTGTGACAGTGTCACTTTTATACTTCCGGGTATGCCGTCACATGTTACGTCACGACGCAACACCAATCAGGATTGGATTAGTTTCATTCATACTTCAGAGGCGCACGCTTAGGGAGCGTCCCCAAAGTGTCGATTCTCGACACAGTGTCTCGTTCCCTTCTCAGGGAACAAGGGTTATAGTCATAACCCGAGACGATTTCCTAACAGCTTGCTCCAGCGCAAACCCTCTTTTGCCGTTAAAAAACTACTGTCAGGATTTACTGAAGACACGCAGTGAAAAGTTAGTGCTGAAAAGGCGTGGACAGTTATTTTTCTGGCTGACCTTATTGCATATGCATTTGTATTTGTTTCCCTTTCAGACACAAGATTTATGGGAGGAGAGAATTTAAATGAATCAGGCAAGGTGATTTACTAAGGTTTGAGCTAGTCAATTTACTGTTCATTTGCGCCATTATTTTCCACCCAAAAAAAGCATATCTTAATTAAACCAGATGCTAATTTGCACTGCTCTTGGAAGATTGTGTTGGTCATTATGGAAATGATCCAGCTGCGTCTGTGTTCTTTAATTTGCACATCATGAGTAGATCACTATTTTTTATATTACATAAACTTAAAAAAATTGAGCAATATCCTTATGGCCTTTGAAACTTACTGGATGGAAGAAGTTAGCCTGTGCTCCCAGCGACAACAGCCTCAGACACGTTTCCAAATTGCCGGTTCTCACACTAGAGTGAAGTTGCTAAAAAAAAACAAGAGAGTGAATTCATGGTTTATTTTGTGGTTTCTTGTCCAGTCCAGTTCATTCATTTTTATTAAGTAACATTCTTACCTTGCTGAGGTCTTTGGCAGTGACACTATCATCTTCTCTACATGGCATTCGATGAACAAACGCCAACATTTGATATTTAGCCTTTATGAAATCTGTTTTGTTAGGGCTGAGAGAGAAGTAAATGATTAAGTGAGCATGTTTAAGCTGAGAGACTCGCTTGGCTCTAAATGTCATGATATATGGGACTCACTGGACTTTGTCCTGAGGATTGGCTTTGCGTTTTCCACTCATGATGGAAGATGGATCCAGAAGGCTGTGTTCCCAGATTGAATTTGCTCCATTATTGTACAGGGACTTCACCATCTATGGATAAACACCAAACACTTCACCTTAACTTTCACTTGACACAAGAAAGGAACACGCTGATGCATATAACGCTGCAATGGTGTTCCTGTCACTCTAACGTCAGCAAGATACATGAGCAGTGTCTAGACACTTCAATGAAAAAAAAAAAAAAGAACATGAAAAAATATTTTGTGTTCAACAGAAGAAAGAAATTCATAAAGGTTTGGAACAACTTGAGTGCGAGTAAACAATGACAATTTTAATTTTTGGGTGAACATTCCTTAAAGCTAGCCTGACTGCGTCATGCTCATATTCTAGTCAGAATGTGGGTCTGATACTGCTCCATAGGGCTTTGATTATGAGGCGTGTCTTAACCGAACCAGGAAAAAAAAAACCTCTGCACTCAATTGGATAGACCTACAACCAATCAGAGCAACACAGTAAATGACGTATGTTGAGCTACGCATAGTTGTCAACAGAACTCAACTGCACGCACGCTGGAAGAAGTAGTAAAATAATGAGTGTTGCTTCTTTTACTTGGTCCTCCATGAGTGCGACCAAAGGAGAAACCACAACGACCACAGGGTTTTCATTGCGTCGCATCTTCTTAGGGACCATCGGAGCCAGCTGATAAATTAAACTTTTGCCGAATCCCGTAGGAAGGATCACATCTTTACGATCGACAAATGCCTCGATTGCAGTTCTCTGTTCGTCTTTTAAAAATGAATGGGCTGTCGATTTCTTTTACAACAGACGCGATAGCGGAATCTATACATCTCAATTCTCCAGTTGCAGTCATCTTTGAGGGAAACCAGGGAAACTGCAGATCATCTGTCCATCATCGTATAAAGCCCGCCCTGGCAATTTGATTGGCCCGACGATTTCTGAACCGATCATAATTACTCCTCAATGGATCGAGTCCAGACCGAACTTCCCGACCAAAAAATGTTGTGGGTGGGGTTCGGGCAGCATCCAGGCTACCTTAAAGCATAAACCAATCCTTAAACCAAACACAGATACATTAATGATTAGGTTTTGACATCACTACTGGGCAATAATCAGATTTTTTTACAAAGTCATGTAAACACGGTTTACTTGCATTACCAGTTAGGCTGCACGATTAATTGCAACGAAATCGCATGCGATTTGGCAAAGGCTGCGGCTGTGATTATTTAATGCGCAGCTTGTCAGTGCAGTGCGGCTGATCGGTAGTAAATGCTGCTTCATCTGAACGCCAGAGGGCGCTCTCACGCAGACACGCCAAATATTATTCCCCGCCGCAGAAGTACAATAACGCACATCATTCCAGGAAATACCTATCAGGCATCATCGCTGTAGCTGAATAAACAGAAGATTGAAACGCTTTGATTGTTGATTTAACATTACTTATAAATACACGACTGCTTTATTCTGTGTAAGAAGCCACATCATCTCACAGAAGGATGCTCAACTGTCGTTGTGAAGTGAGTTTTGAGTAGACATGTGCCGGTATCAAATTTTCATGCTTCGGTTAATTGATTGAGCTTTTATCACGGTATACGGTATTATCGCGATATTTTAATTGCTCAAGAGAAACAGATGGATTGTGGGTATCTAAAAAAACAACAACTTTCATCACAAAGTGTAATTGTGATTTTCAAAACTTATGGTAACTAAACAGAATTTTCAGTACCTTACGGTAAGTTGTACTGTATCTTTAAATAAAAAGTAACAGATGATCGGTTTAGTTGAACTAAGGCGCAACGATCTGTCACAATGGACAGAACCTAAGAGCTGATTTTTTTTTTCATATAAATATAACCTGCTCTGTCTAGTCTGTCGGTGTCAGTGAGTGTCCTCTTTGCTCCACGATTTTTCTCTGCGTGTGAAAAGTGTCAATTGCGTAAGGGCCTGCTCACATATCGCGTCTTTTGCGCGTTCAAGTTCGTTATTTCAAATGTAGGCGCGCGGTATGCGTGCTCATAATGGAAGCGACGCGGTCGCGGTGCGACGCGCTCGTTTTTTCCAAGCGCGTCCGCGCCGCATCGAGATAAAAACATCTCAACTTTTCAGAATGCCGCAAGCGCACCATAAGCGCACAGTAGGTCACGTGACAAGAACCAACCGGAGCGCAACCGCCCTAGCGCATTGGAAAAAGGAGAATGCGGCGAGCCCAGCGTTTTCTACGCGTTTTTAGGCGCTATATGTGAATCCGGCCTAAAGCGCCTTTTAGACAGGACGCGGAATGCACGGCGCTGGCCGCTGGGTTCAACGTTGCCCTTCAGATACAACGCGGTTTGCTATTTTGCAAATAAAAAGTTTAACTATTTTGAACTTTGACCCCGGCGTGCTTTGGTCGACGCAGCAACAAAACATCCCCGCGCGTATTCCGCATCCTGTCTGAAAGGCGCTTGAGTCTCAAGCTGAATGCGTGAGAGTTGGTAGCCCTGCGGGGGATAAGTCGGCAGCGTTCCTCCTTCCGCCATGCTTCTACTCCATGTGAGGATTGTTTACATTAGACTAGAGTGCGCACTGCACGCATGCACACAGTGCTTACACATGTGGGGATTGTTTACATCAGAGTGCACATGTGTTTTGCGCAGCATATACACAATGTTTAAGCAGGTGATGGAAAATAAGCTAATGCGCATTCTAAAAGTCTAAATTCGAATCTATTATTTTTCACGGTATTTTGAAGTGCCCACGATAACAATATCGTGCATATTCATTACCGCGATTTATCGCATTACCGAATACCGGCACATGTCTAGTTTTGAGTAAAGCATGTTATTAAATGTTGTCTTTTGTTGGACAGGAGGTTCATAAATGATTCTCATGTTTTAAAAGATGTTTGACGCGTGTTGCACGCTATAGTGCTTTCAGATGGAGCAGTGTTTAAGAGCCGTACATCAATGAGAAGCTGCGCATAAAAAACAATCAGCCTTTGTGATTTCAAAATCGCGATAAGCCAAATCGGTTTAAAGTGCGATTACATGGAAATTGCGATTAATCGTGCAGCCCTAATTACCAGGTTATTGGTTTGCATGTAAACCAGGACAAGAGGTTAATTCAAGAACCAGATTTTTGGGAGTTATTGGCGTATTGGTGTACATGTAAACATGCTCATTGTCTTGCGGTGTGGTACAGGAGGCCGAAGAGAGAAAATACGCAGACCACTACATTCTATTTCTGTTTGAGGAACTGAGATACAATGCCTCATTTCCTTTTAATGAACCTCAGGAAACATGCAAAGCAAAGCGGCTCCACATTAGAGCACGCAGAATGGGTCTTCACCTGTAGCTGTGAGGAGGGCCACAAAGTTTGGGTCAGGTGCCGGACCTGAGAGCTGTGGCGGCCCAGACCTCGGTGAATACTGCAGCATTCATCGCAGATCAGAACTCCTCGATTGATCGAGGCCCAACGAGGATCTAAGAAAGAGAAAAGAAAAGCTTTGTGACTCAAGTATTGCAAATTCCCCTCAAAAGGCAGATCTCGACATTATACATTCTTCCTCCTTAACCACCTACTTTCAAAAACTTGGCAAATCTATGACAAATGTATAAAGGCCCATTAACACCAAGAACGATAACTAAAGAAAACTATTAGTGTCCACACCAGCGGATGATGTCGTTCGGTTTATCCTACGCGCGTGCTTGTCTTCCACTTTCTCTGTGCCATTATCGTTATAGCTTACTCTGCTATTCTTTCAAATGAGAACGATTTTTAGAACTATATCTTTATCGTTTTTCTTTAATCGTTCTTGGTGTGAACGGGCCTTGACGCTGAGCATGTGACTCCTTTGTAAAAATGGTCAGATGTGCTAGTTTTCATGGAATGAAGATGCTCTCAAGATCATTTTCAAATAATGCAGGAGAACATGATCATCAGAACTTAAGTCATTGAAGCAAAGGAGGAATAGTAACTTATTTAATGCATTGTCAAGAATTTTTTTTTTTTTTTTTTTTTTTACAGCATTCATTTTCAGATCAACAACAAACAGCATTTTAAACTTAATAGTCAGATAAATCCAAAATATTATATACCTAAATATAATATCGAAAGTGTATTTTTGCTGTAGATTAATTATTTTTATATAGTTATTCTTGTGTCAAAATATACTAATACAACCAAAACAAATAACCAGTTCTGAATATTGATTACCAGAACACTTACAAATAAAAATAATGTAGAGTAGATATTGGCTGTAAAAAAATAAAAAAAATATATCTAAAATTAGGAATAAATAAATGAATAAACACTTATTTCCTTATAGACTAAAATGATTAGAAACATTAAATGCCACTGCTTTTAACATAAATTGGTCTATCACTACATTTTATGACATTTTTGGAGGGGGGGGGTTTAAGTTCAGTGTTTTATTATAATAAATAACAATAACCGTTATGATAACAGAAACTAGGGATTTCGTTGGAAACTTTGGTTACCATGGTATATATTTGTTAGGTCTTCCCTGCTTGAATTAAAGATGCGTCTTTACCTCAAAGTAAAACATTTGACTACAGTTTATTGGTTGATCTGGATGTAAAAAAAATAGTTTTTAAAAACGAGGGCCTGGCCATCATCAGTTAGCGGTATTTTACAATGGGAATATCGGGACTGTCCTTTAACCGCGTTATCTTTTATTCAGAAACCAGTATCCGCGTAATCCGTTGGTATTATTAACTTACTCTGTTGGTTAAGGCTTGAGAATAATCTCAAATAAATTCAGTTTATAAACATATGTCTGAATAAAACCCTGCAAGATCCCATAGTCTTGTCTGTTTGCGTTTGTTTCGTGTTTGTTTTGTTTGTCTTACCGGTCGAGCTGCAGTCTGCGCAGACCTCTCTGTTTCGCGCTCTAATGGACATCATACAGCTGCTTTACACGACAATCTAAAACATTAATGTGCTTAACACATTAATGAGGGAGAGAGACAGATGTGGGGAGGACGTGTTTTCCCTTGTTCCTCCTTATTTGACGCCTTTTTTTACTTCCTGGAAGAGGAGGAGATCAGCAGTCATGGGCGGGTGTTCTTCAACATGACACCGCGACGCGACGCGACCAGCTCCGAACGCGCCTATTATCAACTGACCAATAGCGTGCTGGTTCGTCGCGTCATGTTATTTTTTACAGTCTATGGTTACTTTTCGTTTTTTACCTTCATGATGGTACTTTAACTAAACACAAACGAGAGAAAAGGAGAGGAATTGACATGTATCTGGAGGATTTGTCACTTTCGGTGTGTTTATGGTTAATTTCTGACCCTAAAGATTAGAGTTGTGACGTTCGCGAACGAACCGATTCTTTTGAACGGCTCATAAACATGAACGATGGGAGCCGAGTCGCGGCTGGAGGGGAGCCGTTCTTTCTGTCGTTCTTTTTTCATGCGTGTTTCACACAGATGCACACAAATTAGCTCCTCAGTTATAGGGGAAGGGGCGCACCCAGCGCAGGGGTGCTACTGCCTAACAGCATGATGATAGTTGTGCACGCGCTTGCATCCTTTACGTGAGTACTCCAGTGGGAAAAAACCCTACGTGCTGTCATTGGGTAGGAGCAGAGCCAATGACTTATGCCGTCACATGGTTACTCCAGTTAAAAAAAAAAAAAAAAAAAACACTAAAGTAACACTAAGTTCCTTTGTAAATAAATACAAAGGAACTGCTTTGTATTTATTTACATTGCATTTTGTGTTCATGTTATTGTATCTACAGTATATATTTACAACTTTAAATAGTTTTTGTTTTTTATCAAAAAGTTCTTGTGGTATTGTATGAATAACATAAGTCAACATAGCTTTACACATACACATACTTTGTACTAAAGGTAAATCCAAAATAGTGATATCACTTTCTAAGCAGAGGGATGTTGTGCAACCCTATGGAATATAGTCCACACATGACAAATGAGGTAATAATCAATATTTCAGAATAATTCAAACTCAGATATTGGTGTGTGATATCTGAGTTTTAATTAATTGACTACAAATCTCACCTCATCATTCCTCCCAGTGATTATTTCCAGGATAAACTGAGATTCCCCCAAGCTGGCTTCTTTAAACTGACTAAATATTTAAAAAGAGCCAAAAGAGCCGTTCTTTTGAACGGCTCTTTGAAAGGAACGAATCGCAAAGATCCGGATCTCCTCAAAGAGCCATAAATCCCATCTCTACTAAAGATAAACATGCAAAACTACCCACCGACACTATTAACCCCTTCAGCCCTGCAGCCATTGGAATGGAAATCACATGTTTTTTGGTTCAAACCAATAAAATGTTATGTTTTTATAATATGAGTAATGCCTGGTCCCTCATTGGTCTCTGATCAACCAATCACTATAGAGCTGGTAAGTCCCGCCCATCCGTAAAACTCCAAGTGGACCTCTAGGTTGAAAAAGCGTCAATGCAAGTGAATGAGATAAAATAATTATTTTCTGATCCCATTTGAATTGTGCCATGAATGTGAACATATGTTGTCTTGTCTGTGAATTTTTTATATAATTTCTCATGTAACGAGTTTGACAGTATATTGTATGATTCTTTGGCTAGCAGTTGTGGAATAGACATAACGAGAAAGACTACACGTCGCATATGTGACGTCACCGCATAACACATTTTCCCTCCACAAATGAAGTGGTTTTCACCACGCTCAACTAGTTTGTCCTCTCCCTGAAAGAAGGCGGTGAAGTGCACCAAAGACACAGGCATGTTTAGCGGGATCCGTGTGCTAGTGGTGGTGACGTATATCAAACGCGTCGAAAGCAGCGAAGAGTTGTAGTCCACAAAGTGCTCTCACACAAAGTCTAAGCGTATGAAAATTCTACCCGCTAAATTGTAGCATTCTTTACACGAAAAATTATGTAAAAAATTCACAGACAACATATGTTCACATTCATTGCAAAATTCAAACGGGATTAGAAAATAATTATTTTCTCTCATTCACTTGCATTGACGATTTTTCAACCTAGAGGTCCAGCGGGGTAAGCGGAAGGGGCGGGACTTACCAGGGGCATGTTCAAGATCACAACGGTGCGCAACGTTTTGCTACGGTTTCCGGTTTGAACGTCATGTTTCCTGGAAACGGCGTGCACCGGTGTGCAACGGGGTTTGAGATGCGTTTTCTCTTGTTTGGTGGGCGTGTCAGAACTGCAGTCCAATCAGCAGCAACATGTATATAAAGCACACGGTATTAAAGAGAACTCGCACAATGGAAGTAATTTACAAATGTGTTCGATACGCAACAACTAAGGATATCAGAAGACATGTTTGTCATAAGTATTGTAAAAATATAGGATATCAACATAATGATGTAGTTGTTTATATTTTTAGCTTCATTGCAAGTGTGTGACATTTGGTATAGAAATAAACAATGCATGTAAAGTGCTTTTCCTAAAAATGAGAAAGAAAATACAGGGTATTAATAAAACATTATTAACAACAAGAATGTGAGGCTGTGTTTTAGTCTTTATTAGGTAAGATGTGCTTCCATTTCAGTTTCCACAAATCCCTTCACTCGATTGGGATGTTCTCTTGTGTTCTGGGCGGCAAGTGCAGTAACTGTAACATCGGGCATATTTTGTAGTATTAAACATAATTTATACCGACTTCATCAGGCTCCGAAAATTCTTCACAAAGAACACAAAAAGCCTTCTCAGCTGCCGTAGTTGCAACTCTTGCGTCATCACAACAGTGCGTTCAACGCATCACCGTTTCTGTTTAAAAAACGTTCTGCAACGTTTTGTCGGCGCTGAACGCAGCCCAGCTCTATGAAGATATGACACCAAACTTAAACTTAAGGTTAGCTCCCCAAAATTAAATTTCTGTCATGAATTACTCACCCTCATGTCGTTCCAAACCCATAAGACCTTCGTTCATCTTCGGAACAAGAAATGAAGATATTTTCGATGAAATCCGAGAGCCTTCTGACCTCTCCAGACAGCAACGCAACGACCACTTTCAAGGCCCAGAAAGGTATAAAGACATCGTTAAAATAGTCCATGTGACTCCAGTGGTTCAACCTTAATGTTATGAAGCAACGCTAATACTTTTTGTGGGCAACATTTATTTTTTTATAATAATAACATTACTGAAGAATTTCTTATCTTCTGTGTCTGTCTCCTACGCTGTTTGTAACCACGGTACAGCGCTTCCGGGTTCTACGTAAGAACGCCAATGATGTCTTTATCACATTTCTGGGCCTTGAAAGTGGTCGTTGCGTTGCGGTATTTGGAGGGGTCAGAAAGCTATCGGATTTCATCAATATCTTCATTTGTGTTCCGAAGATGAACGAAGGTCTTCTGGTGATTGAACTTCAGGCATCACAAAAGACAGGCATGGTTGAGGAGGAAGAAGCCACTTTTTTGAATTTTTTAAAGTGTAATGTCCATCACAATGAACATCAGGTGTGAAAAGATATCAGCAGGAAAAAGCTAAAATACAGAGCTACATATTTGATGTTTTATGAATATGAACATTAATGTTAATTAATTAAATATAATTAATATGATTGTATGTCTTCAAAGTGACCCACACACAAACTGATGGCTTGATGGTTTAATGGACACAATAATATATTCATCAAAACCACCAGCAAGTACACATAAACACATCCACATATAAAGACATAAACACATATACTCAGATTCACTGTAACAAAAAGAATCAAAGAAAAGCAAAAAGTTTTTCTTTAGACTTTATATCATCTTACCTTTTTTCTACATTCTTTTTGCATTGCGCATTCTTACAGTAGGCCTTACGTGTTCTTTTTTTAATCTTCAACACCATTTCAATACTAGTTCATATAGTACAAACTCTAGTTCATATATATGGTTAAAATACTGTACAGGAATTTTAGATTGATTTACATTGAAGAAGAGCAAATATCAAGCAAGTAAAAAAAAATTGCTCTGTGGAAAAAGGGGTTAAAGTGTTTGCAGGTTTAATATGAAAAGCAGAAAGGACTAAGACCTTATGCGCCAGAGAAACGAGCGTCCAGGCATTTTTAGAATTTTGTGTTTGTACTTCCTTTTTTGTAGCTCTGTATACTTCTATGGCATCGCTGTTAAAGAGTAGATGGTTAAAGGCATGCAGGGTAGGTGATTTGTTCCAGAAATATTTTTTGTTATGCTTGCTGGTTGAAAGTCTCTTCACATCCTGATAACAATCACTAAATTAAGTGGTCTAAATGTATTTTATATATATATATATATATATATATATACACACATCACACACACACACACACACACACACACACACACACACACACACACACACAGTGCTTAGCATAAGTGAACACACCTATGCTAAAGTTGACTAAAAAGAGGAATAAATAATCATCTTTTGAAAATCGTCTTAATCTTGTCTTAAGGGGGTCGCACACCGGACGAGAAGCGCAGCGCCGCGTCGCGCAGCGCCAGGTCTTTAAAATTCGAACACATTATTCTCTATGAGTGTACACCATAGACAGTAAAAGAAATGGACAGAGCGATCTCATTGGAACTCAGTTGAGACAGTTGAAGCCCACTTTTAGCGATTTTTGAGAACTTCCGTTCCTGACGCGCAGACTCAGACCGACTCAAACTAAGCTTGATGACGTGAGCAACCTGTCTGACAGACGTTAATCTTCTAGTAGCTGTGCGTGGAAACTGCCAACGTTAATCTTGCAGAGACGGGGAACTTGAGCAAAGAGTTCTTTGGCGTGAGTGAGCAGGAGTAAGAATTCCGTTGCTTTTATGGACTCATTATCTATGGGCTTCTCCCTTGACGGGACGTCCCCCCGATTGCCTGCGAGCTTCTCCTCCTGTCTGTACGGTAATTTCTGTACAGCGCGACAGAGAGTCGAGTGGTTATGACGCAATCGTTAGCCTATTTTTACTAAATCTGTTTCTACGGGGCCATAGTGTAACATAGAAGGTAATGGAGCCCTTTATACATTCTCGTGTTTCTTTAGAAATAAATAATGGACAAATGGAGTCTTTAAACGCCTCAGATGTAAAGTTATTCGCTGTCAAAGTGA